CGGATGAAGCAGGTGCCTTTCGGCTGCATCCTCGCCGCTTCGCCTCGCCGTCCAGCCTTCCCCTCGTGTCCCGCACCTCTCCCCACCCCTCACGCCCTTCCCCGTCCCTTCTGTCCCTCCCGTTTGTTCTCGGGACTCGCCGAGCTGCCAGGAGCCCTTTCGGAGCCCTAAACCCACCGGTGGGGCCTGGGGAATTTCCCTGAGCCAGCTCAGACACCCGCTGCCTCTTTCACCTTGTACTTTACACCGGGCTGCTGGGCGTCCCCGCGGGAGGGGGGAGGGAGGCGTTGCTCAGAGAGCTGTGCGGAAAATGTTTTGGCTGTTTTGGGGTTTTTTTTTGTCATATTTGAAATAAGTTGGTTTTGAAAAGGATGATGTTTTTTCTGTTTGTAGAACTTATACACAACACAGCGTTTCTTCTTTGAATGCAGGTGATTCACCAAATGACCAAAAAAGCCCTGAAGAGGGGTCTGATAAGAAAAAAGAGAAAAAGTCTGAAGCCTTGAACATCAGAGGTACAGCACGGGAGCATGCTGCTAATATGATGTTAACTTTAAACATGTTCTGGTTTCCATTTCAGATTTATTTTTTTTTTTTCCCTAAATATCAGTAAGAAATGGAGCAAAAGCCCGGGACTCTATGTAGATGGACCCAGTTATCTTTAGCAGAAAAGTTTTGGTTGTATGAAATAGCATAGATAATAACAAAATGGTGTGATGCTGTTTTGGCTCTGAGTGTGCACGTTTTGATTTTAATTCTTTAGAAAGAGTGCAGCTGAACTTTTTGGAAAGGAGGCAAAGCCTATTGCACTAAGCTCAAGTCACTAGAGGCCTTATAGGGAGGTAAAGCAGGTAGCTTTGTGTTGGCTTTGAGTATTACTGCTGTGGTAGTTGAGTAGTTTTCAACTTTAAAATGCTTTTGGGCAGAAAACAATTTCTTTAAATCCAGAGATTGGTAATGTTTTGTTGTCAGCGTGAGGAAAAAGGTGCTGAAACTGGTGCTTCAGCACAATGTTTTTCCAGGTCTTTGAACTGTGAACCTGTCCCTGAGAGAGTCTGTGGCAGGATCAGACCTTCTTATGTTGTAATTCAGCAGGTCTCTGGGTATCTGTGGAGTGAAACAGTATAGCTACTTTTAGGAATAAAGTAACCCAGTGTCTCGCTCCTGGTCTGTAGAGGTGTTTATATGTAAAGGCATTTACATACCTTTTCTGAGCAGAGCCAAAAGCAGTGACTGTCTGCTGTCTTTGACTGTCAGAAAGCTGAAACAAAATGCTTAGTTTCAGGCTTCTTATGGTCACATATCTGCATCTGATATTCCTCCAAAGTCATGTAAGCTGGCATCGCATGAATTCAGCTTAAGGGGTTGGCATGACAGTCAGGCACCTGGGTGGTGTGGTTTGGGTTTTCTTGTCTGTATCTGCCTACCTGTCTTTCAGAAGTGTTTTCAGAGTTACACAAATGTGTCTGTAAGGGAAGACACTTTGGAAATCAAACCATGTGCTAGAGCCACAGTGCTTTTCTGAATGTCTAGCAATTGATGTCACTGGATATTA